AACACTCTCATAATTCTCTCTAGTATAAAATACTTAGTTTGGCACGTGACATCATAAAAATGAGACTCAAGAGGATATTATCGCCCATTCACTTCTATTGATTGAATATTAAAGTATCAAAGTACGACAGCGGAAAGCTTCACTTTTATTTAAAATCTTTAAAGCTTAGTTCAAAATCATATTAAATAAAACTTACAATTGAGAACCATTAAAGGCCTCATTAAAAGTTTTCTAAATAAAATAATTCATTAAACATTGAAAAAAACAGACCAACATAATACTTATTCATAAAAACAAGGTACACTCTACTAATCCCTAAACATAAGGCACGCCACCCCGCTCAAGCAACAAGTCCAATCCCCCGAGGAAGGACTCCCATGGAGCAATAGGCAAGTTATGAATCAGGCATCCCCCGCAACGCAAGAAGCATTGTTTGCCACTATCCGAAAAGCAAAAGATTCAAGAGTCCCAAACTGGGTGTTTTTCCAGTTGCTTCGAGTTGTATTCATGGTGGGAGTTTCAAAAGGAGTAAATGTTCTTGAGAAAAGCTTAAAAAGACTCTTGGAATGATAGAGGAAAGAAATCAGTTCGTGCTTTCCAAGACGCTTCCTGTGACTCAGCATGGGCAACGTTTTTGCTTCTTTTTCCATAGAACAAATTCTCATTTTGAATCTGGGGCGTAGCGAGTCGCGAAAGCAAAGTTTTTGGACAAAGCTTGCGTGGTTCACCAGTTCCACCGACTAGACCCTCGGGCGTGCCCCGATAGGTGCCCCCCAGCTTTGGAAGCCAAACTCCCGATATAGGTAGCCCTTATTTTCAACGAAGAAAAGGTCTATCCTGTAGACAACTTTCTTAGTTCTTAAAGTTGTTTTCTCTTTTTGGCTACTTTTGAACCTTCATGTTAAGTAATTTCTAAACGAGGATGCGGTACACGTGGAGTAACTCATCCAAAACAATAGTACACCAATCATACTCGTCTGCATTATCAGCCACGACAACTACGTGCAAGTACTTCTTTTTCATTCTATGACAAGTAATTGAACATAGATTTTAAGATCAACATGAGAAAAACCTTCTTGAACTCACTCTCATCAACTAACGTGCCCTCAACTGCTTCTACAAGAGTCTTCCTAGTAATTCTTATAGTGTCGCCCTTCGTAGTTATTCTATACATTTGATACAAATTATCCTCTAAAGCCTTATCCACAACCTTCAACGGAAGTTCTCTTTTTCCATATGTAAGGCCTATAACCCAATGCACATGGATCGCATTTAGCGGAAATTGTTTCCCATTCACTGCCAAAAAAATTTCACTACTAGAAAAGAGGCGATCTTCGTAGAATTATTCTGTCGGAAAATGGTCATCGAAAATGTATTTGTCGGAAAAACGACCTTTTTCGACGGAATTTTGGGCGTCGGATGATATTCTCCAGCCCAGAAATTTCGTCAAAAAATTCCGACGGAAAGTTTTCCGCCAGAAATTTCAGACGAAAATCCTGTCGAAAAAATGCTGCAAAAAAACAAAAATAAAAAATGCCTACTACCGCCCCACACCACCACCGCCACCAGCCCCCACACCAGCCCTCACCCACAATAGACCCACCCAACCAGACCAGCAACCCTAACCAACCTAAACCCTACCCACCCTAACCAACCTAAACCTTACCCAACCTAACCAGCAAGTCTTATGTAATACCCCATATTTTTATACGTATTTTAAATTTAAATAAGTATTTCTTGAAATATTTAGACAATATGAAATAAATTATTTAGGGTTTCTTCAATGGAAAAAGAATGATTTTAATTAAAAATATACTTTATTATTTAATAATCTAGAAAATATTGGATTTTATGATTTAAAATATTGGGGCACATTATTTTATATTAAATAATTTAAAAGTTAAAGTTATAAAGTAAGTCAAACCCTAATTTGATTAGGAAAGAGATTATTAAAGGAAGTAAGTAGGAGGATTAAGAGAGAGGGTATAAATACCCCTTATGTGCCTAGGGAGGAGTTCACCCAAAGGTAAATTCTCTCTCTCCTGTTATTTTATTTTCCTCTTAATTTTCCCCTTTCGCTTTACTTAATTAATTTAATTATTTATTGTTTAACCACCACACACCACCACCACACACGCCGGTCACCACCACCAACCTTCACCGGTGGCAGCAGCCACCAGGCAGCGTGGCAGAGGTGGCCAGGTGGTTGCATGTTGCGTATTCTCTGTTCGTAATTGATATACACGTTTTATACATAGATTTATCCCGACTTTTCATTACATTCTTGCATGGTTTTAGGATCTTTAGAGCCATTTTCCGCTAACATTCTCTTCTCTAGCGTGTTCGGTGTGTTTTTATAAGTTTACAGGAACTTGGAGTTTCTCGGATGATTTGGACACGTTTTGAGCGTTTACGGAGATGTTAGTGAGCAAGGATGAAGAACCGAGCTAAAAATGAGCTAAGGACGAGAAGAATTTGCAAGCAAACACTTTTCTTCACTGTGCCCGATCGGGCTATGCATGCCCAGTCAGACCGGGCACAAAAGGACTTATTGGTTGATGTTAATTAGAAAGAAAGAAGCTGTTTGGGCAATTAATCCCATGCGCCCGATCGGGCAGCCCATGCCCGGTTGGACCGGGCGCGTGGTGGCTGAGATCCTCAAAGCTACGAAGATCAGGTGCAAGGTAGCCAGCAAAGATGTGCCTCGCGCCCGATCGGGCGCCACCTGCCCGGTTGGATTGGGCGCCGATGAGATCAGTAAAGAAGAAGTAGCGCTTGTTTTCTTCCCACCTGCCCGATCGGGCAAGTCAAGCCTAGTCAGACCGGGCAGGGTTATGCGCATTGCCGTTTTGTTATTTTCTTATTTTTACTTCATTTAGGGTATAAATACCCGTTGTAATCATCATGAGAAAACACTTTATTATCTCCTTAAGTTTTATTTCTCTCTCTAGAACCCTAGTTTAACACTTTTCAGCAATTTAATTCCTAGGTTAGATTTGGGTGTTGTTGATTAACAATTTGAGTAATTTCAATTGAAGCATCATTGGTATTCATCTCTATTTCTTTCTCTTTCAATTATTTTTGTTTTCAATTATGTTTTCCTTGATTATTTTTGCTATTTTTTATTTTAATATGTGTGAGTAGTTTTCTTATTCCAAGACTAGGGTAGCCCAATTATGATTGATGCATGAATTAATTCTTTAAATTCTCTAATAACTATTGCAATTGTTTATGCTAAATTGATTGTGATTATGCCAATACTAGATTAGAGATAATTAGTGTTGTTATTATTCCATTGTTTTAATCAGAACGAGAGTTGGGTTTTAACGGAATTGGGTAGATTAATTTAGGGTTTGAGATTCATCACGAGAGTAGTTGAATTGATAATTGGGAAGCGAAGTAAAGTGTTTAATGTCTCTAATTTGCATTATTCCATGAGAATAGGCTTGATTGTGGTTAGAGAAGCCATTGATACTCGAGAGAGGTCCTTGGTATTGATTAGGGTTTACTTTTCCCCATGTTAATTGGAATTGTATGTTAGGGGTAGTTATATAATTGCATCAATCGTAATTGTGGTGATACTTGGTCTTGGATGTTTTAGTTTATTGATTCATTATATTCTTTTGATTAATTCTAGTTTTTCATACATTAGTTCTTAGTTTATTCCACCATTGATTTGATTCTTGCTTAGTGATTATTTGAGTCTAGATAATTTAGGTGAACCTTAGTCTCTTGGGATTCGACCCTTACTTGCCCGACTACATAGTTAGGAGGAATAGTTAGGTTATTTTTGTTAGTTACGTGACACGCCTATCAAATTTTGGCGCTGTTGTCGGGGACTAACAGTTTCATTTGATTATTTGTGATTCGTTTTTGCTAAGCTTCGTTTGGTGCTTCGGCTATTTTCTCTTGTGTTTTTGATATTCTTTCTGTAGTTTTCTTGTTGCATGTCCACACGACGCTCAGGGTCAGACGATCTTGAACCATTTGACTTTGAGATCGAGGCAACTATAAGGAGAAGGAGAACAAGAAATCGACGGAGGAGAAACATGGAAGATGCCACGAAATCCCTCTTGGAGTACAGTATTCCTGATACGACTACCAGATTTCTTTCTAGCATTGTCAGGCCACCTGTGACGGCTCAGCACTTCAAGCTTAAGCCACAATTCATTTAATTCATCTCCAATGATTCATTTGCAGGCCTACCACATGATTTCCCGGTAAGTCATATTGATAGTTTTCTGGAGAAATGTGATACAATGAAAATGAATGGTGTTACAGATGATGCTATTAGACTGCACCTTTTCCCTTTCTCATTGCGGGATAGGGCAAATGAGTGGTTGAGAGATGAAGGCACTGGCTCATTCGATACATGGGACAAGCTAGTGAAGGCCTTTTTAATGAAGTTTCTAGGACAGGAGAAGACTGCTAGGTTGAGAAATGAGCTACCCACCTTTCGACAGTCAGATGACGAGTCTCTCTATGAGGCTTGGAGAATATTCAAGAGGCTGCAGAGACAATGCCCTCATCATGGCATCCCGGAGTGGATGTTAATCCAAACATTCTACAATGGTTTGACCCATGAGTTCCACATATACATCGATGCTGCATCCGGAGGTTTGGTCATGACTAAGAACCCAACGGAAGCTAAGGCACTCATAGAGAAAATGGCGGCCAACGATAACTATCATCCAGGAGGTCGTCAGAATGTGAAAAAAGGAGGTAAACTTGATGTAGATGCTTTGAATATGTTAACTAGACCCACCAACACCATCGCCTCGACCCAACAACATAATCCACCACCACCATCGCCTCGACCCAACAACTACAACTCACCACCCGGTTTCCAACAAAGACCACCTATGAACCAACAACCAATGCAACTACTTCCCCAAAAATCTAGTCTTGAGTTGATGATGGAGAGCTTCATTACCACAACCAATAGTGCCATCCAACAACAAAGTAACTCCATCCAACAGTTGCAAGCCTAGAGTAATATCATGGAAAACCAAATAAGTCAACTTTCACAACAAGTGAGTCATTTATCAACTCTTCATGATCAAGCGAAGGTCCAAAAAGAACAATGCAATGTAGTTTCCTTGAGAAGAGATGAACCATCTCCGTGGCAAATAGATGAGAAAGTGCACAGTGTGGAGTCAAGAAAGGATGAAAAGGGTGAAGATGTACATAGTTCCAAATATGTTGCTCCATCGGCATACGAGGAACCGATGCCCTTCCCGCAAAGGTTATCAAGGGTCGTACTCGATAGACATTTTGTGAAATACTGCAAAGTTCTTAAGAAGGTACACACCTCTACTCCTTTTTCCGATCTTTTAATTCAAATGCCTTAATTTGCAAATTTTGTGAAGAATATTAAGGATCAACATGAGGATAAGGAAGTAGTAAATGAGAAAGGCCTTACTCTCTTATATGATAGCTTACCACCTAAGCTGCATGATCCTGGTAGTTTCACTATTCCCTGTACGATAAACGAAAAATTTTTCGACAAGGTTTTGTGTGATTTAGGTGCTAGTGTTAATTTAATGCCCTATTCATTATATGAGAATTTAGGTTTGCAAAAACTTAAACCTTCCCCTATTTCTCTTCAAATGGTTGATAGGACTTTTAGACTCCCTAAGGGTGTGGTTGAAGATGTATTAGTTACGGTTGGTGAACTTGTTTTTCCCGTTGATTTTGTTGTCATGGATATGAAAGAAGATCATAAGATTCCGATTATATTTGGTCATCCATTCCTCGCCACAAGTCAAGCCCTAATAGATGTTCCTGAAGGACAAGTTACCATTAGGGCCCAAGATAAACAAGTCATGTTTAAGCTCTTTAATGAACATAATTCTGTATTTGATGGTGGTACTTGCTTAAGAATCGATGCTACTAACCCTTTGGTTGATAAGTAAGTATTTGATAGAAATTTTGTGAGAAACGAGGACAAAATCCCACCCAATGATGTGTTTGGCCACATGAAGGTAAGTTCGGATACAAGGCAGGTCAATTATTAAATGAAGGAGTCACTTGGAGGTAATTATTTTCATGGGCAACATCGCGGAGTTCCTTCTTCTTGTGGTGACCCAGGTTGAGCTAACAACGAAGGTCAAGCTGAAGACCTTATAAACAAGCGCTTTCGGGAGGCAACCCGCTTTCTGTATAATTTTTCTTAGTAGTTTTATTCCCTTGAGTGTTTTTATGTAGTTTTTGTGTTGTGTTTGTTATTTTTCAGAGAGCATAGATTTATGGGAGGAGCGAGATGCCAAGAGATTTTGTAAAGAGTGGAAAACAAGGCGTTATGCTTGCTACCCGGTCAGACCAGGCAAGGCCAGCCCGATCGGGCGCGAGCAACAACGCAGGAAGAAGTTATTGAAGGAGGTAAACCCTCTCCGCCCGATCAGACCGGGAAACCGGAGCCCGATCGGGCGCGAGAGCATACCTGAGTGAGAGTGCTGCGTATTTGGAGATGTAAGGAAGCCCCCTTATGCGCGATCAGGCCAGGCTGCGACTGCCTGATCGAGCAAAGGGGGTAGAAAAAAAAAAGAGGAATAAGCTGCCCGATCAGACCGGGCATACCCAGCCCGATTGGGCGCGAACAACAGCCTGGCAACGCAGCAGCAGAACACAACACTACCTTCCTCTGCCCGATCAGACCGGGCAAGCCCCGCCCGATCGGGCGCGAGGGGGATACTATGAATTTCTCAATTAAAAACCCGAAATTTTCTCTTTCTTTTCTCACTTCTTCATTCACCTTCATACAACTTCTACTATTTCTCTCTTTAAAATCCCAATTCTCAAACCCTAACTCCTTTAATCCACACAAATCTCTATCAAACCTCCATCAAAACTTAAAATTTCTTCATCCTCCTTATTCAATTCCTAACATCCATAACCATTTTTCTTACCCCAATTTCCCTTCTCACCAAAAAAAAAAAAAAAAACCCATTTTCAAGTTAGAGAGAGAAACCTTCGAACAACATCAATGGCTTCAATGTTTACAAGGAGGAGGAATAGAGGAGCACAACAACAACAATTGGACTTGGAGAGCATCCCGGCATACCCAAATATCCGATTCGTTCCCGAGTTCCCGAATCAAAAAGCAAGGTTGCTTGAGCTCCAATATAGGAAGGTAATTCCTACTCGGTTCATAGACCGATCTTTTCTTGCTAGGCTAGGAATTGATAATGAATGTCGAAATTCGTTTTCTAGACTTGGAATGACTCAACTATTTAACATGATAAATTATACATTTGAGGACATTACTCTTGAATTTCTTAGCTCATTTGATGTTGTGAAAGGTAGAGACGGTTTGGTTACGCATGTTGTATATAGACTAATGAATAAATCTCATCGCTTCACCTTAGAAGGTTTCGGTAGAAAGTTTGGCCTCCCCTCTACGGGTTTGACTGTGCAACCCAATAGTTTTACCTCGGGGGAGTTATGGTTGGCAATGATGGGTGAGAACATAGAATCAATGCAACACGCCCGTGCTCATAAAATTCATCAACCGACCCTTAGGATGTGGACTAGATCCTCGCGGTGGACAATTTTTGGTAGAATTGAACCAAACAATGTTCGGGCGGATGAAATAGCCATCCTAGGTAGCTACCTTAGGTTGGGAGATGAGGGGGAGGGGTTTAGGATGAACATAGCTCATTTATTTTCCCTCCATCTTAGGAAACAAGGGGCGACTTTTACCACCCTCAAACCAAATGGCGACCGCACCAACATCCCCATTCTCCTAGGTGGCTTAGTGACTCACCTAGCGGTTAAGGAGGGATTTGTAGAAGCCCAAAACCGCCCTGTGCCAGGTCCCATTACCTTGGACCAGCACTACCTCACCACCACCGGCTGGTTGTCGGTGGAGTACGGTAGTTATAGATGGCTACTAGACAGGAGCACTAGGCGGTCCATTACCTTACCCGCCCCTGAGCTTACTAGGATCCAGCCCTACCAGCCCTCCTACCTACTCGAGGCCCCTGACGGCCCACCTCCTCCTGCTTCACCTACTAGGACCTATCACAAGAGAGAGCAGGGCGGCGCATCCTCATCCTCCACCGCTCCCCATATCCCTACCGACCGTGAGTCTATCATGGCCGGTATACAGGAGCTTAGGTTAGGCCATCAGGAGATTAGGTTAGACCAGCAGAACCTAGCCTCCCGTGTTCACACCCTAGAGACTGACCTACGTCAGTCTATGTATCCTGTATATGATCTCTTTTGCAGGCAGGGTCATATCCCGAGGGATGCTCAGCACCCCTCGTGGTATACTTTCCCCGACATGACTGACATTGCATGTACTAGCGGGGCGGCTGGTGGTGTTGATGATGATGGTGACGATGGAGGTGATGATGATGATGATGGTGCTGATGATGAGTTCGCTTGAGGAATAAGGTATTTCCTACTTCCCACTTGTTGCAATGGGGACATTGCCGAGTGTAGCTTGGGGGAAGTTTGTGCATAGTAGCTTAGGTATGTTCTCTGAGTTTTTGTTTTTTTTTTTTTTTTTTTTTTTTTTTTTTTTTTTTTTATTTTGTTTGGTTTGTTTTCTTTCATGTGTTTTGGTGTGTTTTAGTTTATTGCTTTATTAGTTAGTTTAATTTTTTTTTTTTTTGAAAAAACTGAAAAAATGAAAAAAAAAATACGAGAATCATGATAGTGAATAGCCATTGAACTACTTCCCTGTGCCCCTATCCTTAATGCTAAAAAGGTTTTGATTTAATTTCGATTGAAAGATTTGCATAGTGGACTAAAAGATCATGATTTGACCTTGAATTTGTTGATCCCTAGTAGGAGTCAAAGCTATTTAACCATGTATGATTTAGGAGCTTGACTGTGTTAACCGTGAGGCTTGAACCTTATATATTCATTCATGTGTGTGTTTAGTTCCTGGTGTAGCATTGATCTTAGGTTTGATTCTAGACTCTTAGTAGTGTGTCGTAATGCATTGCACGTGCATGTTGAAATGACGAAGGCCATGTTCATTAGGTGACCTCTAGACGAATTTAGAACATCCGTTCCCTTCTTGCTCACCCATGTTACAACTTGACTATATTTTTCATAAACTTCACAAAAGTTACCCCTTGGCCCCAATTTGGTTACTTTTCCCAAGTCTAGCTTGGGGGAGCTATTTTATGCGGTATTTTGTGTGATTTTATTTCAAGTTGCAATTGATGAGAAATATATGAAAGAAAAAGAGAGAAAATATGGAAAACTAGCTTGGAGGTTTGTCGAAAAAAAAAGAAAAAAAAGGAGTAAAAAAATGTTGATGAAAAGAGAAAAAAATTTGAATGAAAAGAAGCTTGAAGTTAGAAAGAAATATGAAGAAGTAATGGGTGTTTTTATTGTAGTTGGGTTTGTGTTTTGTTGATTGAAAATGGTGAATCGAGGTGTGACTCATTGCTTTTGATAGCTCCCCGATTAGACTAATATAGCCCACATTTCCCAAATTATTTCCTACCCATTCTTATTCCCGGCCTACGTTACAAGCTTCAAAAAGTCCTTCCGATCTTCGTCCATAGCGTTGTGTTCATGTGAAACGAGTCTTTTGTCAAAATGCTGGAGTATATGTTGCATTTCGAGTTGACATTGACTAGGTTGAGCGATATTGTAACCCTCTAAACACGCGAGTGTTGTGAGATGGGGGGAATTGCATTATTGGTGGGGATGGTGAGAGATCGAGCTCATTTTTAGCTCACCACATAAAAAGTGTGTTGAGTGACCACTGATGCGAGATATTCTAGTCATCGATTCTTGAATTATACATGGTTAGTCTCGTTTGACGATTAATTATGTGGATCGACGGTTTGAGTGATTTGATTGGTTGGCTAAGATGCATGCTTGTTTGATTTCGATTTTGAATCCGTGTTTTGAATTTGCATTATGGGGTGAAGTATGTTCTTTGGTTGTTGATTATTTTTTATTGTCTTGCTTGAGGACAAGCAAGAGTTTAGCTTGGGGAAATTTGATATACACGTTTTATACATAGATTTATCCCGACTTTTCATTACATTCTTGCAAGGTTTTAGGCTCTTTAGAGCCATTTCCGCTAAAAATGAGCTAGGGACGAGAAGAATTTGCAAGCAAACACTTTTCTTCACTGTGCCCGATCGGGCTATGCATGCCCGGTCAGACCGGGCACAAAAGGACTTATTGGTTGATGTTAATTAGAAAGAAAGAAGCTGTTTGGGCAATTAATCCCATGCGCCCGATCGGGCAGCCCATGCCCGGTTGGACCGGGCGCGTGGTGGCTGAGATCCTCAAAGCTACGAAGATTAGGTGCAAGGTAGCCACCAAAGATGTGCCTCGCGCCCGATCGGGCGCCGATGAGAGCAGTAAAGAAGAAGCAGTGCTTGTTTTGTTCCCACCTGCCCGATCGGGCAAGTCAAGCCCGGTCAGACCAGGAAGGGTTATGCGCATTGCCGTTTTGTTATTTTCTTATTTTTACTTCATTAAGGGTATAAATACCCATTATAATCATCATGAGGAACCACTTTATTATCTCATTAAGTTTTATTTCTCTCCCTAGAACCCTGGTTTAATACTTTTCAGCAATTTAATTCCTAGGTTAGATTTGGGTGCTGTTGATTAACAATTTGAGAAATTTCAATTGAAGCATCATTGGTATTCATCTCTATTCCTTTCTCTTTCAATTATTTTTGTTTTCAATTATGTTTTCCTTGATTGTTTTTGCTATTGTTTATTTTAATATGTGTGAGTAGTTTTCTTATTCCAAGATCTAGGGTAGCCCAATTATGATTGATGCATGAATTAATTTTTTAAATTCTCTAATAACTATTGCAATTGTTTATGCTAAATTGATTGTGATTATGCCAATACTAGATTAGAGATAATTAGTATTGTTATTATTCCATTGTTTTAATCACAACAAGAGTTGGGTTTTAACGGAATT